ATTATTATTTAAGACACTATAAACATATATAAATATTGTATACTAAAAATTTTAGACAAATAGTCGTCCGTCAGAACAAATCGGTCAGAATATAGAGAAAATTATAATAATATTAAAGTGTTTTTTAAAGATATTTATTGTGTTTGTAATAAACAAATATATAATATATTGTCGTGTGTTGTGGTGTCTGTCGGTGTTGTGTTTGTGGTATCAAATGGATAGTCAATGTGTTAATTAATTAATTGATTGATTTAATAAACAAAAAATATAATTATTAAACAAGAAATAATAATAATAATAATTAAAAAATACTTTCTTTCACATTGATCTCTCTCAATTTGTCTGTCTGTTGATATTGGTAATTTATTAAATTTTTTAATTCACTTTTTAAATGATCTTTTCACAATTTGCTTTCAATATCCTATTAACACAAGTCATGCAGTGTTTTGTTGTTTAAACAAAGCCTACAAACGAGAAAAAATGAAAAAAGGTGAAATGGTAAATATTGTTTGGGATAAAACAAATCATCATCATAATATTTATTAACACATATATTATATATATTAATAATTAAAATTATGAATGTGGTTTTAAATTTAAACAGGCGCAGAATTTTGGTTAATCTAGTTTTATGTATGTCTCGTTAGAGTATAGTATGTTGTGTTAGCACTCATACTGTTATATTAATAGCGATAATAATTAATTAAAAACATTTCAAAATATCTGCAAAAATATACTATTATTTTATAATTTATATTAGAATTAGATATCTATTTAGAAAACAAACAAAAACTTTTAATTCATTAAACATTTCACTGAAAAGTCTAAACAAAAAACAAACGCATGATTATAAATAGTGTAACAAAAATACTTATTACTAGTCTGTGTCCACCCGTCCTAACTGTCCGACCGTATCATTAGAGGGGGTGGGAGTTGAGGGGGGGAAGGGATATGAAGGGGCAGATATGATCAATAATCATATTAATTATAATTAAATATTTAATTTAGTCACTAAATTTTAATCTACGTAAATATAATATAAGCCTAACAATTAAAAACAACACAGAAAGGGTTAGAAGAGAGTGTGTGTGGGCTAAAGTAAAACATGAAGTTAGCGATTGGTCCCCCACAACCCCAATATATTTATATATAAATTTTGCCTCAATTTTCACCGTAATTAAACAAATTTTATAAACAATTATATATATATAAATTCAAAATTATATTTCTGTCTCGCGATCCATATTTAATATATACATTAAAGCGTTTTACTTTCACATTTAATTACAAGTAATTAATAATAATAAAGTTTAATTGAAAAATCATCCTAATCGTATTATTTATCATTTGTAGTTTACTGTATGGTTTAAATTTAATAAATATATAATATTAAATATACATATTATTGGTAAGCGATTGAAAAATTAGTATGTGTGTATGTACTTAAAATTTAATTGTTTTGTTTCATGATCCAATATTGGTCTCACACATTATTATCCACTTTCATAATTCATTTATTCTACTTATATAACACCGAGAGGTATAATACTAATAATAATTAACAAACCATATTCTGGGGCCCAGAGAGAGTTAGAGGGCCCCACAGCTCGCTTTATATATATTGTACGTATATATAAATATATATATAAGATATTGTACTGTAAGATATTGTAGTGTAAACGGGTGTGTGTTGTGTCACACTTTATAGCGAGAAGTTAGTGTATAGATTGCATACCTCTTCGATACACTTGAGCTCATTGCGGGTCTGGTTCTGCAATTGGATCAGTTGTGTGGCGGTCATCGACGAGAGATCGCCCAATCGTTTGGCCTGGAATGCAGACTCCGAACACTTCAGCAGCTCGAGCTCCTTCTGGATGCACGACAGTCGAGTCAACGCCTGGGAAATTAGGGTATTGTTTATTAGTATATTACGTGATTTGGGTGGGTGTGGGAGATAGGGGTAGATGTAAATATAAAAACAAAATATATCAAGGACAATAGTGGATTTTTTAAACTGCCATAATGAGTTATAGGTCACAAAGTTTATTATAACAACTATAACTCTCGGGTGAAAGGGAGGGGAAGTATATAATTAAAGGGGTGTCCAGTGACCAACAAATAGGGTGACCAACGCACATACCTCATCCCTTTGCGATTCGGCTAACTTCTCCTTTCGGGTCACTTCTTCGACTTCGCGTTTCCATAACTACACGACAACAACAACACAAACAAAATTCAAACAAGTATTAAAATTTAACCGTACATGTACCGAGATAAAAAAACAACACCAATTTAACACCAAAACATCAACACTCACATTCATAGCCTGCGCCAATTTCTCTTCGTAATTGGCCAGGGTGGCCTTGTGCAGGGTGTTCTCCTCGCGCAGCCGCTGCACTTCCATCATGGAGGCCACAATCGTCGACTGGTTAGCCCCGTTGCCACCGTTACCGCCCCCCACGGGCGACATATTACCGGCACCGTTGCCGCCGCCCCCGAAGTCGTACAGCGATGACTGGCCAACAGAGTTGGTCCGATGCATGAGACCGAACGCGTCCCGCGACGATAGCGATGAGCCCAGGGGTGAGGCGCCCACCGGCGGCGACGATAGCGACGAGTTGGCGTTGCCTAACCGGGCGCCTGTGCACATAATCAACATGGTTATTAATTGGTTAAGGTGATTATGATTAAATAACTAATACGATTGTAAATTTTTAAGTTAAACCCTAGATCCTATTAAAGTAAAACAACTCTACTCAAATAATACCAAGCTCACCAATTACAACACTAACACAACATAATAAAAGTACCTAGTTCTCTATTATCCATCCCACCTTCTCCACTATAACTGCCATATAAGTACCTAGGGCCCCTGTCATACCGGGGCAGCTGGTAATATACGTACCGGGAATATTAACGGGTTGCGTCGACCCCAACAGACTATTACGGATACTATTATCGCCGGGATGTCCGCCGCCGAGATCGTTGTGCTGATGGTCGCGACCCTCCCGTCCGGACCCGAAGTCCTTATCCATGGCCTCCATATGTATGTCATCGAGATTGAGATCGTCGAGCGTTTGGTTCAACACCGCGTCTATGGAGTTGGAGTACTGGGTGCCGCCCAACCCGTGCCCACCCCCTCCAACGCCTCCCAGCGAATGGCCAAACGGGTCGTGCGATTCGCGTACGGCCGCGAACGGCGAGTTGTGTCCGCTGGACATACCGCCAAACAACGAGTTCGGGTTGTGTTTGAGTTGGCCGTTGCGCTCCAGGTACGAGGCCAGTAGGTTTTCCGACGCCGCCGACATGGCTGTTGAAGTGCTGTACGACCGGGGTCGCGCGATGGGACCCAGTGCCGATGGTGTGGGCAGATCTCGCTATTGGTCAGATAGATATATGCATTGATTAGTTTTATAAATATTAATTAGTTTTATTGTGTTATTTACTATGGGATTAATGTGTGGTGGCTGTAAATTGTATTGTGGTAATTTTATTTGAAGTGTTTATGAACTAAATATGAACATAAATTAATAACTATTGAGTGAGTGAAAGAGAGAGAGAGTGAGTGAGTG